TATGTTTGTTCACATGTGAAATTGTTTTCTGTAGGACAGATTCCTAAATGGAGAGATAGTTAAGAGAGCAAACTTTTACAGGTTTAAAAACTGTTGCCAAATTGTCTTCCAGAAAGAGGGTCCCCATGTATTCTTTTGCTGTAGGTGAAAATGAAACCAACCACTGAGTTCAATGAAGTCTCATGAGGTTGTTTATGGGAAGACAGACAAGCCAGAAAATTTACCTACCATTTTCTAGTTAAGAAATTGATTCTTAGGACCAGAGAGATGGCTCAGGGGTTCAGAGTACTTGGTGTTCTTGCACAGGACTGGATTTGGTTCCCAGCACCCGCACAATGGCTCATGATCATCCTTAACTCCAGTTCCAGAAGATCCAACACCCTCTTCTGGCCTCCTCAGATACCAGGCATGTACATGACTCACTTACCTGCACGGCGGAAGGTGTAGTGGCCCATCCCTTTAATCCCAGCACTTAGGAGGCAGAGGCAGGTGGATCTCTGAGTTCCAGGCCATCCTGGCCTAAGAAATTGATTCTTCAAGTAGCTATATATTAAACATTTTTAACCAGTATAAAATAATTTATGGAGGTTATTTGAAAAGAACATTATTGTTATTTTTGTTTTTACATTTTTTGTTTGTTTGTTTTTTGAGACCTAGAGCTTGCTCTGTAGACCAGGCTGGCCTTTAACTCACAGAGATCTGCCACCACCAGCTAAAATTAAATTCTTAATATTGAATATTTAATACATAAATACTTAAATTGTGAATTATTTCATTTGTTTTTAAAATTTTATCTTTAATTTTGTCTGGGTATGGTGGCCCATGTCTTTAATTCCAGCACTTGGGAAGCAGAGACAGGTGGATCTCTGTGAGTTCGAGATAGCCTGGTCTACATAGTGAGTTCTAAGCCAGCTGGGGCTATAGGGAGACCCTGTCTCAAAAAGACAAAAAAAAAATCATCATCTTTAATCTTTATTTATGTGTGTCTATGTGAGTGTATGCTATGTGTACACAGGTGCCCACGGAGGCCAGAAGAGGATGTCCAGATCCCCTGGAACTAGAGTTATAGGCAGTTGTAAGCTGCCTGATGTGGGTGCTGGGAGCTGAACTTAGGTTCTCTGCAACAGCACTAAACACTCTTGATCGCTGAGCTATCTCTCCTAGCCCAAATTATTTATTTATTTATTTATTTATTTATTTATTTATTTATTTATTTATTTATTGAGTGTGTTTATCTGTGTGTCTATGTATGTCTGTGCCTGTGTTTCTTTCTTTCTTGTTTTTGGTTTTTTGAGTCAGGGTCTCCTTATATAGCCCTGGCTGGCCTGGAACTCACTATATAGACCAGGCTGGTCTTGAACTCACAGAGCTCTACCTGCCTTTTTCTCTTGAGGGTTTGTATTAAATATGTGTGCCACCACACCTGGCATTTCTGGAATTTTCTATGTAATATTTTTTGACCATAATAGCTGAGTGTAACTGAAACCATGAAAAGTGGAGCTGCACATGAAGAGGAACTACCTGGGTTATAGAATCATAGTAGTCTGTCCCATGTTCTGTTTCCATTGTTTCACTACTATTAATATGCTGTGTTATACATCTTTTTGCATAGGTTTTTCCTATAATTATAATTCTTTTTTTACTGATAGAGTCCTAAAGGTAGAAATACAACAAGAAAAATGTTAATCATTTTTCAGAAATGCTGATTTATATATTATTGAATAATTGAGCGATGTTTTTAATTATTTATTTATTTGTATGAGTGTGTGCTGCATGTATGTAAGTGCATCCCTGTCATGAAATTCCCCCAGAGGCCAGAAGAGGGCATCGGATTCCCTGGAATTGGAGTTAAGGACAGTTGTTAGCCACCATGTGGGTGCTGGGAACTAAACCTGGGTTCTCTGCAAGAGCAGCCAGTGCTCTTAACCACTGAGCCATCTCTCCACCCCCCCCCCAATATTTTTAAAGACAAGGTCTCATATATCCCAGGTTGGCCTTCAACTAGCTACCTAAGCATGACCTTGAACTTCTGATCCTCCTGCTTTTACATTCCGAATAAGAGATTGCAGGGATGTGCTTCTCTGCCCAGTTTACTGGCGACTGGAGATCAAACCCAAGGCATTGTACATGTTAGGCAAACACTACTAACTGAGCTACAGGCCCATACCCTCAAGCAAAATTAGTAACAAACTGATTTGTTGAAGTTTTTTATATTATTTGGAATGAGTTTAAAAGTTCTGTATTTCCCTCATTTTAGACTGGAACCTTACTTTCTAGGAATGGTGAGCCTGAAGGAGGCCGTTTCCAATTGAGCAGGTGCTCTCAAGCAGCAAGAGAAAGGTTTATTAGCAAGGATTGCATTTTTGGCTTCATCTTCAAGTTCACATGAGTACATTTTATTGACTCAGTTATAAACACCAAGGACTTGATTTCACCCAGTTTTGTATATTCCCTCTCTTGTGGAGTGCCTTGTATCATTAACTGATAGTTAATGTTAGTCAAAGTGATTTTTAGAAAAGCTCCACTGACAAATTATTTTTTTAAAACTTCACTTTTTCTTTACCCACCTTGACCTCAAACTTGTGATTCTCCTGCCAGTCTCCCGAGTGCACCAGATATGTATCCCTGTGTTCAGCTTAAGATTTTACTTTTGAAGTCAGAAAAGAAAAAGTGAAGTTGTGCATATTTTAAGCATTATATGTAAGGAAATATAAAGCAGAAAGGTGCTAGCAAAACCAACCTGAGAGGCCATACCCCAAACCCCTACCTCCGAGCCCGGGGCTGGGGGAAGGGCATGGCCTCCCTCACAGACTCAGGGTTTTCATATTTTTCTCCCTCAGGGAGGAGGAAGGGGTTTGGAGTAGAAGTTGGGTCACTTCCTACAGGTGTAGGGTAGGTTTTCCCAGTATGAGGAGGGTCAGTCACACAGGACTCCTGTCCAGGAGTGCCCTGTGATTGGGACTGAGCTGTATCAGAGGAGCCAGTGGTGGTGTCTGGTGGTGGTGTTTGTGAGACACAGCCTCCCGGGAAAGCCTGGAAAGTGGCCAGGGAGTGGTAACCATGTGAGAAGCATTCAGGACTTATGATTTCTCCTTCAATAGAAGCATACAACTTAGTAGTGAGTCCCCTCTAATCTTACCTCACAAAGATAACCAATGAATCTAGGATGCATTTGCCCATTTCCCCCCAATATTTTAAAAATACAGTGATGTCCATCCTTAGTAATAATAAATGAAATACAAAGTAAAGAAAAATGAGATTTCTCTCTCCATTGATGAAGTTCTCAAAGATAAAACCAAAATGTCAAAGAAACCTGATTAGTGCCTGATTGTGCTGATGGTTGCACAGGAGCTAGGCATGCCCTCAGAATGTGATTAACAATTCTCTCCTTGGGGAACAACCTGATAGTCATTATCCAAGTTTTACATGTGTTTCCTGTTGACTTTAGAAAGCCTGTTGATAGCTGTTTAATAATGTTAGGGATGGTGCTAGAGGACTAAGAGTTCTGCTCGTGGCCAGCAGCAGTGTGATTTGTACATATGTGATCTGAGCATCCGCAGCCTTCTCATGAAGCTTGATGAAGTTGAATCCAAGTCGGCTGCATACAGAACAGTTCCAGGGGCCATGTGGGTCTAGGCAGTTCTTCACAGCTCGTCAAGATACACTTCCAGGGAGGGAAGATTTCTGCCATTACCTCTCCCAAGGCACAAAAAGTTGGTGTCCACCCAGGTCCCTACACAGAAGGCACTTTCCAGAAACTCCCTCCTCCTCTATGCTTCCAAGGTCTAAATCAGCAGTGAGGTTCTTCCCATGAAATATCCATAAAGTGCAATTGAACATGAAACACTTTGTAAGTGATCCGAATTATGTCGGCTGCTTTTTGAGCAATGGGAGAAGAAAGGAAAAAGAATTTAAGGAGCTGCTATCCAGTGTGCCAAGCTTGCTATTTCCAAACCATCATAAATGGGTCACAGATCTGTACTTTGTAATTTCAGAATAACTAATGCTAGGGTTGTTTTTTCAGCATTGAAAGTGGCCTCATCCTAGTATAAATCAGTCAATATCACACAGTTGGGTCTTGTTGCCTTGTAAATCAGTATTTTTATTCTGTACTAACTTTGCTTCTAGGTCTAAGATCCTGAGATCTGTTCTTAAGGCAGACCCCCTACATCTGTGAATTCCCTGAAGCCCAGCTGATTTCTGTCAGGTAGTTCCCCAGGCAACCCAGAGCAGCCCGGAGGAGAGGCCCCTTGCTCACTGACAGGGTGTAGAATCTTTCCTTGTTAGAAATCGACCCCTGCTTATGCAGATGCTGTCTCCACACAGTCATCAGACTCTTCTGCTGTCTGGAGCCCCTGAATAAATCTTCTCTTTGTATCCTTCAGGATTGAGGATCCTCCCGGTGTCGAATAATTTCTCCCTCACAAGGCCGGATCCCTAGGATTTTCACCCTCCTGGCTACCACTCCCAGATAGCAGTACACAGGCCATATTCATAGTACTGCACTTCTGATAGAGAGCCCAAAAATCCTTAGGTCAAAGAGTTTGCTGTCCCTCACACCAGACCGTTGTCTCAAACTATCATAGAAACAAAGTCCCGAGCGGTTGCTTTTTGAGTTCAAGCAAGAGATGCAGCAACCGTTTCTCTGAAACTTTTATCTTTTTTGTTTTCGGTTCTCTCTTTTTTTCATTTTTCTCTTTTTAAATTCCGAATGCGTCGATGGCTCTTATCTAAAGCAAGCATCTCTCCCAGTGTAGTGTCCTGGACAGTTTGAAAAGCCTGGCTGCAGCCGCTGATGTATTCACCAGGCTCCGCGTAAGGAGGGTGGCAAAGCCCTTCCAAGGAGTTTGCCAGATGCTTGCTGGAGCCGCAGAGCCAAGGCTTCCAGACGGGGCACCAAAACCCAGGCCCCGGTTGCCAGTCTTGGCGAAGGAGCGGCAGGCTGAGGTTTGGGCATTGACATGTAAATGTCAAAGCCCGCCACCCCTCCCAGACAGACCCGCCGCAGCCGCCGCGCCTCCTTCCGCGCACACAAAGCCGCCCCGGCTGCTGCGCGCCTTTGTGCGCCGCGGCCCCTGGTCCCCGCCGAGGCCAGTCGGTGAGTATCCCGCCAGTGTCCTCCATGGTAAACCGAGCTTCGGTCTGTGCCCGGACGGAAGGTTCTCCCAGCCCGAGGGGCACAAGTGGTGTCTTAGGAATGCCCTTTCCTGGATGTGGACAGAGGCCCTTGACAGGGCAGTCTACTAGGTAATTATTCATTGGATTTGTTGTAGAGAGACATATTTGCATACCGGTCTTGCAAAAGAAGACTGGATGCCTTGTTAAAAGTACTTTTTGGAATTTACCTGAAATTTCTAAATGGTCAATTAGGGGCATTATTTCTTTTCTTCCTTTGGCGGGAGGAGAGGGGGAACTGAGGATGGAATCCAGGGCCTGGGGCGTTGTGGACCAGCACATCCCTCCTTCCTCGCCCCCGCCAACCTTGGGGCTTTGTTCTTTCTGCTGTTCTTTCCTACCCTCCTCACAGGGTCTCACATTCCGGTCCTGGCTGGCCTCCGTTTCGAAGTTCTTCCTCAGTCTCGTGAGTGCTGGGATGAAGGCCTGTACTACCATGTCCAGCTTGCACACACCAGGCTTTCTGTATTTCGCTACTCTGCTGACCCTCTGTAACCTTCCTCACTTACCTTCCTCCTTGTTTCTAGTGTTCTAAAGTGTGTATTGATGGTAAACTGTGTGCACTGGTAAATTAATTCCTAAAAGATGGGTCATTGAGTTGGGATGTCAGAAGTGAAGGGAAAATTACACAACATTAAAAAAGCACAAATAAAGCACAATAAACAATGTATGTGCTGAAAAAAATTTTTGAGTGTGTGTGCATGTATGTGTTCATGTTGGTGTGTGCACGTTTGTGCCTGTGTGCAGGTGTGTCAGATATCTTCCTCTGTTACTCTCTACCTTATCTTTTGGCACAAGGTCTCTCATTGAATCTGGAGCTCACCAGTTGCCAGCGATCCTCCTGTCTCTGTCTCCTCAGCGTTAGGGTTACAGGTGCAGGCTGTTTTGCCTGGATTTTTATGTAGGCCCTGGGGATCTGAATTAGGTCCTCAGGCTTATGCAGCAGTCACTTTACTGATTGATTTCCCCCTGAAACATCAATGGAAGAATTGATACAGTGCTGCCGTCTTAAATTCAACACAGGAATTGTAACTACAGGGTGCTCCTATCTTATGGTGGGAGGTGTATGTCTGAGATGTTTGGGTCTGATAGTGCTACCTGTGCTTTAAGAGCTAGAAAGATAGTGTTTAAAATACAAACTTGGATTTCACATTCAAAATACTGAGTACTGCACCGAGAGAATTTTGTTATTTTATTTATTTACTTATTTATTATTTGTTGTGCTGGAGATTAAACCTAGTGCCTGGTGCGGTAGGCAAACACTTTTTTTTTTTTTTTTAATCAGTGAGCTATACCCCTAGTCAAGTAGAATCTGGATTAAAAAAAAAAAAAAAAATCCCAAACCCTGGATGTAATGGTCTGTATTCTGGCATTCAGCTGAGGCAGGAGGTTGAGAGTTTGAAGACCTTGACTCAAAGAAAAGGAAGAAAGAAAGGTCTTGAAGTAAAAGATTTTATTTAATAAAAGATGTCTCATATAGAATATTTGGCTCTTTATAGAGATTGGGCTTTTAAAGAAAAGGTTTTTTAAGAAACTGCACATCTCCCTCCCTCTCTCTCTCCATTCTTCCCTGTCTCCCTCCTATTATGTGGGTATAGATAGCTTGTAGAAGGGATTCCTTACACAATGCATCTTTAAGCTTTGACTATTCAGACACTGTTTTGCTCTTTTAGAGTAATTATAGTAATAAAATTCTAAGCTTGCATACCAACATGAGGCCGGGAAAAGCTCAAGCAGTCCTTCACCCAGAACCCAGAAATCCTACTATTAAGTGTGAAGTATGTTTTTTATAGATAAATATAGCTAGGTTTTGGCAATCATGAGCATCATTTGGGGAGTTCAGTATGGTGGGAAGAACACTAAACAGTTTTGAAACATGAACTCTGTTTCTAGCTACCCAGGTGACCACAGACAAATGATTCTGAGCTTTAGTAATGGACTGACCCAGTGGCTCTCAACTAGGACCTCCTAAAAACACTGAGGCAGGAGCTGGAGAGAAGCTCAGTGATTAAGAGCACTAACTGCTCTTGCAAAAGACCTGAGTTCAGTTTCCACTACCTTCATGGCTGCTAACAACTGTCTGTAACTCCAGTTCCAGGGACACCCTCTTCTGTCTCTTCCATGGGCATTGCATGACACAGGTACATTGACAGACATGTAGGCAATGCACTCAAACACATAAAATAAAAATAACAAATAAAATATTTTTTGACCATAAACATATTTAATACATTTTTTTGGTTATACAGTCATTTATTGTGTGAAAACAATGTTTCCAAATAAAATATTTTTTAAAATACTGAGGCAGAGCACTTTAGGCTGTTATAATGTGTAGGAGCCCTAATGCTTGAGGACTCTGGATACTAGGCATCTTGGAATGCTTAAAAGCACTGGCTAACAACCATTCGTAACTCCAGTTCCATGGGACCCGATGCCCTTTTCCGAGCTGTAAGGGCATTGCATGACATGGGTGCACTTCCCTACATGCAGGCAATACATTTATACACATAAAACTAAAAAATAATAAATGAAATATTTAACTGTAGGGTAGTATATCAGGAATGTATTTTTAATTGATGTGCTGTTTTCAATCACAAAAATGATTTAACTAAGGAATAAGAAAAAATTGACAGCCCTGGCAGTAACTATATTTTGATACATATCTTGTCAATCTTTTAAAAGTTTTACAAAAGTGGACTGGTAGTATATGATGTTTTATAATCTTCTATGTTCATTTGGTAATATTCCATGTGCATATATGTCTTTTTGACATAGCTATTCTGTGATTTTACATGTTCTTAGTGTAGGCTGCTACCAGAATATCATAGATGATGTGGCTCAAGCAGTCACAAACGTATTTCTCATAGTTCTAGTGTCAGGCAAGTCTGAGATCAGGGTGCCAGCACTGGGCTGGGTCTCATGAGGGCTTCTCGCTGGATTGAGGGTGACCATGTCCTTCTGTGTCTTCACATTCAGAGGACAGCAAGAGGGACGAGTTCTCTTTTGTCTTTTTTTAGCAGGGCACTAATCTCATGAAGGCTTCACCCTCACAACCTAAAGATCACCCACATGACAACTAACAACCATCTGTAACTCCAGTTCCAGGGAATCAGACACCCACTTCTGGCCTCCACAGGCATTGTGTGACATGGGTACACACATACATGCAGGCAAAATACTCATAAGCACAAAACTAAAAATAAATAAATAATAAAGTCAGAACTTGGTACTGTTAGATATTGTCTTTTCAGTATCCACATACTGAAAAGTCCCACTCGCCAGTTTATCCCCCCATTACTAGTTATGCTTATGCTTACACTGATATCCTTTAGGGTCATTTCCCAAGTGTGGAATTTCCAGGCCACAGAGCAAGGCTTTGAAGGTTTGGGTGCATATTGTCACATTTCCTTACAGGAAGCTGGTCTCAGCATCATGAAAATTAAGCTCAGCTTCCCTCTAATGTGCCCTGGATCTCCCCTTTTCAATCACTGGGACTATGAATTCATTAGTAGTGTTCTAGGGCAAATGTAACTGAGCAAATAGATGTTACAAAGCAAATTACAAATACCATTTTATAGTCAAATAAAAAACAAAAGTGGGGGCTGGGTAGGTGGCTCAGTGGTTAAGAGCACGGGCTGCTTTTGCAAAGGATCCAAGTTTGGGTCTTAGCATCCACATAGCAGCTAATAACCATCTACAACTCCAGTTTCAGGGAATCCAGCACCTCTTCTTGCTTCCATTGGAACTGCATAACACGGGTGCACTTACATACATGCAGGCAAAACACTCATACACATAAAATTAAAAAAAATTTTTTTTTTATTGAAAAGAACAAAACCAGCCCATGTACCACTTGGCTGTCAGATCCCCTCCACTAGCCAAGATGCTGTTTGTCAAAGGATGTGGCTGCCTAGTGCTCTTTCTCTAACCCGGTTCACTTTCTGGACACAATACAGGGAAAAAATTGTCTTCAGCAACATGACAGGAAAACTACATGAAATTAGCTAAATAAATTATAAAATGAGAAGTTAGTCCTTTATTTTGTGGTACATAAAAATAATATTGTATATACATCATGAAGAAGGCTGTAGGTTGGTGCATGCAGACAGTATCCACACTGGACTCTTGGGTGCGTGACGTGGTGTTGCTCGCTGTGGCCCAGGTTTCTTGTATGGCATGGTGTGCTACCACGTGCTGGATAATGAATCAGTTTTCTCCCAGCATCGCTACTGGATGGCTGAGACCTCTCTTACACCAAGCACTGCCCAGCCTAGCCTTCAGCTGTGTCCAGTGCAGTGCTGACTCCAGAGCCTGCTTATGTTTTGTTCTCAGCCTATCGGTGAGTGTTTGCTTAATAAGTACAAATGTAAACATGAGCATTCAAAGCACATGATAGTGCATTTATGAGGGAAGCATTCAGACAGTTCAGAGTCTGTTTATTCTGTGACGTTCCCTTTAAAGTCACTTTCCAGATCTTTGAAAAATACATCTTAGAACACTAGAATTTACTCAGGAAAGAATGACTTGGTTTTCAGACACTGTCCAAGGTACTTTGGATAATTATTGACATTTCCCAAAGAAATATGTGCAAAATTCTTACTATGTTTGATTTGAATACTTGATTTGATTTTGCTTTCAATTTTGATCATGTTCCACTATAAGAAATACATTTTTAGCCGAGCGTGGTGGCGCACACCTTTACTCCCAGCACTGGGAGGCAGAAGCAGGCAGATCTTTGTGAGCTCGAGGCCAGCCTGGTCTACATAGTGAGTTCCAGGACAACTGGGGCTACAGGGAGACCCTGTCTCAAAAAGACAAAAAAAAAAAAAAAAAAAAAAAAAAAAAAGAAAGAAATACATTTTTACATAGTGATTTAGTATTATACATACATGTGTAAGCACAAGAATGAGACAAATGTTTCCCAACATGCAGTGCATGTTGGTTTCTTCTGGTTTATAATTTCATTCTTTAAAATGCTGTATGTGACCCATTAACTGGTTCTAATGATTTACAAGTAAGCCATAGCCCACAGCTTGGAAATTCTGTGCTACAGGTGTGTTCTTGTGTCAGCT